TATATTAAATCTATATTGAATCTATGTTTTGGGAGTATGACACGACATCTTAACAATATTGAGTCTTGTAACCCATGAACAAGGTATATCATCTACTTAGGTCTTCTTTATCATAGCAATATTTTGTAGTTTTCAGTGTACGGTATTTTTCTTATTTTTTTGGTCAGACTTATCCCAGGTATTTCTGCTATTGCAAAGGTAGTATTGTTTATGCGACTGCTAATGTTGTTGATTTTTTATTTCAATTATTAATTTTTCATTGCTACCATATACAACTGATTTTTGTACACTACTTTTTATCCTGCAACCTTGACAGACTCACTTATTTGTTCTAGTAGCTCATTTGTAGAGTCCATTGAATTTTGCAATGGAATTTTGCAAAAGCTGGATTTTGTCAAATGCCTTTCTGTATTGATTATACGATTATTCTTTTTGAGTTTGTTTATACGATGAATTATATTGATTGATTTTTCAAATGTTAAGTCAACCCTATACTCCTTGGATATTCCCTCTTGATCATGCTGTGTTACCTGTTTCTTATCTTGTAGGATTCAATTTGATAAATTGGCTTAGAATTTTACCCTATGTTCATGAGAAATGTTGGTCTGTAGTTTTCTTTCCTTCGTAGCATGTTGTTTGACCAGGGTCCTAGGATAATTTTGATACTAGGATAATTCTGGCCTCAGATAATGAGGTGGAAAGTATTTCTTCCTCTCTCTCTCTCCTTCTCTCCCTTTCTTGAGTCAGGGCCTTGATTTGTCAGCGAGGCTGGAGTGTAGCAGTGTGATCATAGATCACTGCAGCCTTCAGTTCCTAGGCTCAAACAATCATCCTGCCTCAGCCTCTCAAGTAGCTAGTACTACAGGCATGTGCTACCATGCCTGGCTAATTTTTTTAGTTTTTTAGTTTTTTTCTTTTTTCTTCAGAATCTCGCTATGTTGTCCTTGAACTCCTGGCTTCAAATGATCCTCCCACCTCAACTTCCCAACATGCTGGGAATACAGGTGCGAGTCATACATGGCCATAGATTTTCGTTACAGGTTTTTAAACTGTAATTTCAACTTCTTGAACAGACATAGAGCTATTCAGGTAATCTATTTCTTCTTGGGTGAGCTTTGGTAATTTGTGCCTTTCAAAGGATGTGTCAATTTAATCCATGTTGAATTTATTGCCATAAAGGTGTTCCTAATATTTCCTCACTATCCTTTTCTATCGGTAGGCTCTTCAGTGATGTCACCTGTCTCATTCCTTATATTGGTAACTTGTGTCTTGTTTCTTTTTTCCCTGATATATCTACCTGGCTGGAGATTTCTCAATTTAAAAATATTTCCCCCCAAACTCCTCAAATTTTGATTAATTTTTCTCTATTTAAAAAATTTCATTAAGTCCCACTTTGACCTTTATTATTCCTTTCCTTCTGCTTACTTTGGGTTTTTCTCTTTTCCAGTTTCTGCTATTGATTTCTAATTTAATTCCACTGTGGCCAGACGATATACTTCATGTGACAAATCTTTTGAATTTGAGACTTTTAAAGTGGTCTATAATGTAGTCCATCTCTATAAACGTTCCATATGTACTTGAGAAAAACTTAATCCTTCTACATTTTACATTCCTTTTTACAAAAACTTTTCCTTTTACATATATTATAAATCCGATACTATTATTTTAACTCAAACAACTAAAAATTTTTCTCAAGTTATTTCTCAGAAACAAAATTGAGTTGTTTCTCAATTTTCTCAAGAAAAATTTTCTGCTGTTGTAAGATACAATGTTCTAAAAATATCAGTCGGGTCAAGTAGATTGATAGAATTGTTGAAGTCTACTTTATTCTTGTTGATTTCCTGCCTACTTGTTCTGTCAATTATTGAGGGTTGGGTATTAACGTCTGATAATAGTGGATTGATCTATGTCTCCTTGAAGTTCTACTTGTTCTTGCTTCATGTGTTTTGAAGCTTTGTTATGAGGTGTGTGTTATAAGTATGAAATAACTTCCTATGATCCTGGGTGATATGGCTTGGGTCTGTGTCCCTGCCTAAATCTCATGTCAAATTGTAATCCCCAGTGTTGGAGGTGGGGCCTGGTGGGAGGTGACTGGATCATGGGGGTGGATTCCCCCATTTAGTGCTCTTCTCATGATAGAATTCTGACAAGATCTGGTTGTTTAAAAGTATGTGGTACTTCCCTGACCCCTCCCTCCTTCTATGGCCATGCTTCTCTTTCACCTTCCGCCATGATTGAGTTTTCCTGAGGCCTCCCCAGAAGTCAAGTGGAGGCCCACCGTGCTTCCTGCACAGCCTGCAGAAATGTGAGCCAATTAGGCCAGGTGCAGCGGCCCATGCTTGTAATCACAGCACTTTGGGACGCTGAGGTGGGCGGATCACAAGGTCAGGAGTTCGAGACCAGCCTGGCCAATATGGTGAAACCCCATCTCTACTAAAAAAAAAAAAATTGAACAAACAAACAAAAAAACTAGCCGGGCGTGGTGGTGCATGTCTGTAATCCCAGCTACTCAAGAGGCTGAGGCAGCAGAATCACCTGAACCCAGGAGGTGGAGGTTGCAGTGAGCCGAGATTGTGTCACTGCAGTCCATCCTGGGCAACAGAGGGAGGTTCTATCTCAAAAAAAAAAAAAAAAGAAAGAAAAAAAGAAATATGAGCCAATTAAACCTCTTTTGTTTATAAGCTACCCACTCTCAGATATTTCTTTATGGCAGTATGAGAATGGACTAATATGCTGGGAATTACTCTTTGCTCTATTTTGATTAATATAGCCACTTCAATTTTCATGTAACTAGTGTTAGCATATCTTTTTTCCCATCCTTTAAGTATTTGTATCTTTCTATTTAAAGTACATTTCTTGTAGACAGAATATAATTGGGTCATGTGTTTTCAATCCAGTCTGAAAATCTATGCCTTTTAATTGGGGTGTTTACACTATTCATATTTAATGTGATTTTTGATACAGTTAGGTTGAGTCTCTCATCTTGCTATTTGTCTTCTATTCATCCTATCTGGTCTTTATTCCCTTTTACCTCTTTTTCTGTCTTTTTGATGAATCAAGTTTTAAAAATAATTCCATTTTATCTTTTGATAGTTTAATAGATATAATTTTTTGGTACATCATTTTAGCAGCTGCTTTAGCACACATCTGTAACTTATCGCACTCTATCTTCAAATGGTAGCATGTCACTTTGTGCATAAGAACTTTACAATAGCATGATTCTCCTCTCCTAGTCTTTTTAAGCTATTATGGTCATCCATTCTACTTTTACACATACAAATCCCACACTATGACTTTCATTTAAACAACTGTCTTTTAAAGAGGTTTAAATAATAAATCCTACATTTACCCATGTTCTTACTACTTCCAGTGTTCTTCATTTCCTTCAGAAGGCAGGCATTTTCCTTATGCCCAAAGGACATGCTTTAACTTTTCTTGTAGTGCAGACCTATGGATGACAGTCTTTCAGCTTTTGCAAATTTGAAAAGATCTTAATTTCTTCATATTATTCTATTTTCAGTGGCATCTAGTCTGCTGTTAAACCAACCAGTGGAACTTGCAATTTCAATTATATTTTTCATTCCTAGATTTGTTTGGCACTTTTTACAATCTGCTTCATTGTTTTTATGCTCATGCCATTTAACCCCCCTTATTTCTGTAAGTATAAAGCACACTTTATGGATGTACTTGCTAACTTAACATCTTAAGTCTTTCTAAGACTTAGTGGCCTTCTTCTGCCCCTTGTTTCTGCCGGTTCTTGCCTATTTTATGTTTGTGATTTTTTTTCTATGAACTTTTATTCCTTGAAACTCTCTGAGTTTCTCCAAAGACAATCTGTTTTGCTTCTGCCAGTTACCTGTAAGGCACTAAAATCCTGTTATCACTGGAAATTTCCAGCTTGAGATTTTTTAAGACTACCCAGGTTGAGCAAACAAACCACCCTAAAAACTGCCTGTGGTTGTATATAGGCTCTCAAGTAAGATGTTTCCCCCAGGACAGAAATCTTCCTTGCTGTTCCCAGGGGTTAGGGCGATGGGTGAAGCAGATGGATTTATTCCTAGTTCACCCCTACATTACATCTATCCTTTTGGGGTCTCACTTTATGAGGTTTCCTCTTAGTTTTCCTCCCTTGGGCAGGCCCTGAGCTTTGTGTGCGGTTCTGCAGCCCCTTCCCACCCCAGGCTATGAGAAGAAAAATTCAATTTGACATTTGGCAGATGCACTAAGGCTGAAAAGTGGCATCAGTACGTCACTTACTTCTTTGGGTTTCTGCTTCCATTGACACACACACACACACACACACACAATTCTTTTTGCCTTTGAGAACTCTTATTTTGCAGCTCTTATTTTTTACATTAAAAAAATATTTCTTCATATGTATTCTAAAGTTTTAGTTGTTTTCAACTGGTCCTTATCAGCCTTACTGCTGGAAATAAAATTCTTTCAACCTGTTCTGTAACAATTGACAGTATCCACTGATCCCTCTCTGATCCAGAGGCATTAGCGTGAGAGCACACTTAGGAACTAGGCTGGCCTGAGATGAAGTCTCAGGTCCACTAGCACTGTAACTTCGGTAGTGTATTTACACACTGTGCCTCAGTTTCCTCAAAGGGTTGGTGTGAGAATCTAACATGGTAACGTATAAACAGCACTTACAACAGCGACTGGCCCTGGTAAGGATGAGATTTCTTTTTATTATCTGAAAAAGTTGTAATGAGCAAAATATATCTCACCCAATGGGGTGAGATGGGGACCAATACCCCCTGGTCCTTGGACATCCTGGGCCAGTCTACCACGTAGTAACCACGACCTTGTGCTTATGTTGACAGAGAGAAATCAACTATGAGCTATTCATTGGACAGCAGGCCCTGCCGCCATCACAGATGGGTCCCAGGTGCAGCACAGGATGCTAGCAAATGCTGATCTGAGAAACCATCACACAAGCCTGAGTGGACACACAGACCTTTTACCATTAAGAAATCTGAAAGCAAGCATAAACATAGGCAAACATGATTTTTAATTTTGTAATTTTTATGGTGGACAGTGATCATTCGCCCCAACAGCCATCTGAAGCCAATAGTCTTGATTATTAAAAATCACAAAGTTATATAAATGTTCTCCTCCTTTCCAAAAACCATGTTCACTTTTTCCCCAAGAAACAGGGCTGTCTGCAAAGCCTTGAACGGACAATGTAACCCATGGAGCTAACTTCAGTTCATCAAAGTAGTGACTGAAAAAAAGGTAATTGTTAAACAGGGAGAGTTAGGAATGTCTGCATTTTTAAAAAATTTATTCAGGATAAGTAGTATTTCTGATACTCTAATAAAGCTTAGATCTTAGCTTTAATTTATGAAAATCAAGAAGTGTGTGATCAATTCCTGATGTCACACTGTGAATTCCATAAGGGTTAACTAATATACAACACACAAAACAAACCTCAGCTGTTCCCACCCTCATTCTGGGAGGTCTTTAAGAGGAAAAGAACCCAAAACAAAAAACCCCACAGGTGTTTAAGGATAGTTTCCCTCCCATTAAGAGTACCGTTCTCAGAGTCTCAGTTAACTGAAACGTTGCAGGATAATTCACCAGAGTTTTAATATCCAGCCTTCCGGTTGAAGAAAATCAAAGTACTAAACCAATAAATGTGAAAAGGGATGCTGGGCTTAAAAAGGAAAACCTTCAAGACTTAAATCTGACATTTTAAAAGGGAAGATTCAGAAGATATGCTTACTAAATAGGATTATACTCAATGTACAGTCTTTGCAATAGGGGATTTGAGTTTCCTTTCAATGTACATTTTATTTATATACTACCTCCCAAAATGAAAAATCTACACTATTTTACATACTGTTCTATAAAGCAACGATGAGCGATATAAAAGGCAAAGAGTTCTCACCAGAGATGTTCCAATAGGAGACAGATCTTCTCTGGAAGTATGAAGCCAGTGATTGTACACAAATAAGCTTTTGCCACCACCGTGCTTGGCTGAGGACAGCAATAGGTTGATATGAAATTATTAGGCTCATTATTTCTGTCACCAAAAAAAAAAAAGAGAGAGAGATAACACATTGATATCCATCACATGATCCCTTCCAAAGTATTAAACTCCTATTAAAAACAAGCAGCAGGCCAGAGCCCGAGAAGACACAGGGAGTCCAGATACCCACAGGCTGACATTACTGAAGACGGCGCCAAGCCAGTCGAAGAGCTCCAGAGCCTGGCAGGACACCTCCGGTGCTCCGTCGAGCTCACTGCTCTGCAGCACCGGGCACTGGAGATCTCTCACTGTACTCAGCGTTACTTTTGGCTGATGCTCCTGAATTTGGTACTTGGAAAAATATGACATCATTGTTGATTCTTCCGAACCTTAAAAACACACCATACAAAGCCATTTGAATCCATTTGACCATCGTAAGCAAGTTTGGTGAATCCTGGAACCCATCCATTCCCATTTGAGTGGCAAGATTAAGTAAGATGGAAGCTGTGCAGCGCTGCATTCAAATTAAAATCATTTAAAGCTGCTTTCAGCTCCTTTTGCCCAAGTTCTGTAAATGTTCATCTTTTTTCACACTTTTCCTGGAAAAGCACAATAGTTTCTGATCAGACCCAAACTAGTTTCACCGTGTGTGCTAATAAAAAATTTCAACTTCACACTTAAAACCAAAAGCATTCCTGATGTATGAATAACATTAGTGAACTCCAGAGAGAAGCAGCTTATCTGCACAATCTCTATTAAAGAAAAATAAGAGAAACGGAATGGTGATGGAACCTCATCCAAACTTGACTCTGAAAACCCAGTAAAATCCAGTGTATCTTTTCAGGGGTGTTTGTGTAGCCAATGGCCTTGGAAGACAGAGATGGTACTCCCTCCACAGCAAAGGGCAGGCTTGTTTACTGTCCAGTATGATAGAAATAATGTCACCCTCCCTCTCCAGGCAGAGATCAGCAGGCTTACTGCCCCTTACGAAGGACTGGAGTTCTTAAACTCCAGGTTCCCCTCCTGTAATGCAACCTACTGCATGTGCCAGCATCGCTTGGTGTCACTCTGGCAAATGGGACTTGGTGAACTGGTGCAAACGGTGATATTCGGTGTGATGGTTAATTTTAGGTGTCAACCTGACTGGATGAAGGGTTATCTAGATGGCTGGTAAAGCATTATTTCTAGGTGTGTCTGTGAGGGTGTTTCTGGGGGAGACTGGCATGTGAGTGGGAAGACTGAGTGGGAAGATCTGCCCTCACTGTGGGCGCACCATCTACCCGGCTGGGGCGTCAGACAGAACAAAAAGGCAGAGGAAAAGTGAATGCGCTGTTCCTTGTAGCTGGGACTCCCTTCTTCCCCTGCCCTTGGATAGCAGAACTCCAGGTTCTCTAGCCTTTGGACTCTGGGGCTTGCACCAGCAGATTCACAGGTTGTCAGGCTTCGGCCTTGGACTGAGAATTACACCATCTTCTTTCCTGATTCTCAGGCCTTCATATTTGAGCTGAGCCACGCTACCAGCATCCCTGGGTCTCCCACTTGCAGACAGCCTGTCATGGAACTCCTCACCCTCCACAGTTGCATGATCAATTCCCCTAATAAATATCCATCATCCATCCATCCATCCATCCATCCATCCACCCATCCATCCATAAATCATCCATCCATCCACCCATCCATCCATAAATCATCCATCCATCCATCCAATTGGTCCCTTCTCTCTGGAGAACCCTGACTGATATATTCTGGCTACGGCTATTCCTCTGAGGAATTAAGTCCTGTGTCTCTGACCCAGGGCTTGTGTGTCTTCTGCCAGCATCCCTGAGACCGTGGCAGGCTATCTTGTTAGCCTGCAAGTCTGAGGAAATCTCAGACCTTTCACAGTTCCTGACAAATCCTTAAAGCAGGAGCTTTAGGAACAGGGAGCTATTCGGAACCCAATGTCTGGATGATCCGCATAGAAGACTTTACGCAACAGAAACTTCAATGAGCCTTTCTGCTCTCTTTTCTATCTACCATAGGAGAGGCACCGAAGGCCACACCTAGGGCTCATGGGAGCAACTTGGAGCACCCAGTGACCAGACACCTCCCACGAGGAGCAGAAAGATGGGTCTGTTTCTAAAACAGACCACCATGCTTCCTATCCTCCAAAAGAGAGTACTACACCCTAATTCCTGATGACTTGATCCATTATGATCTTGGCCAAAGATACACTTCTGACAGCAGCAACATACATGGCCGTTTTCGGCAGATGACGCTGTGTGGTGAATAGCAAACTTCGAACTAAATTTAGTGTCCTAATCAATTAAAAGTTATTACACATTAATCTGACATTTAATGGTAGGTCTGAGGTAGTGCCCTGTGATAATAAATAAGCAGATTGTGTATATAACTATAATTGGTGCTACTTAAAAATATTATAGTCGAGACTGTTCAAGGTAAGCTGGAGAGAGGAAAGGGGAGAAATAGATAAAATTTAGCTGCTCTAAAGCCACTCTCAAGATCTCTGGATTTATGTATAACCCAAAAAGACTCAGGCAGAAAGGCCTGCATGCCTAGACAATCCTGAACAATGGTTTGCAGAGATGTCAGAAGGGCTAATTTCCTTAATACTATTTTTATATATATATACAATATTCCTTGACTATAAGAGTGAATCACCGTTCAATCCTCCATTACTCCTCTTTAATTAACAATTAATTTCAAAATCACTGTATCATTACATAATTGTTTCTTCATACCTGTATTATGCCAAGCCAAAAGAAAATCAAATTTCAATGGTTTCTTTTCTTTGAAGGACCAAGATATTCTTTCATACTTCTTAGAATCCAAGTTTAAGGATAATTCCATCAAATCAATGGAAACAACTTTAAAAATGAAAAAAAGAATATATATTTCATTCATATACATACAGCTTATACTATGGAAAAAGTGTTGTATTTTTAAAAACCAGAATTTTGGGAAATTTTATGGATAGTAAAATTATTTTATTCTTCTTCCACTCCCTTTGGTTTGCCACATAAAAAAGATCCCTTTGGTGGGCACTTCTAACCTTGAGAGCTAACAGAAACAGACATTTTAAATTTATATATTTCCTAGGTCAAAGACCAAGGGCAGAGGACCTTGAGAGGTCAGGTTTAATCTACTAATGGATGTGGCAGCCTTAGCTATTGATGTTCGAGCCAGACACTGTCAGCAAAAGATCTCTTCACTCATGGGTGAATTTCTACTAGTAATCATAAAGACCTGGGGAAGCCAAAGGAAATTCTTCATTATAATAAG